TAGAGAGAGAGAGAGAGAGAGAGAGAGAGAGAGAGAGAGAGAGAATAACAATCTACAGTTGTTTAATCCTCAACTACATGTCTCATTTTAGAGTCTTAATTTACATGTCCAAGTCACCCACGGCGTTTTTGATTGGCTGATTTGGAACAATCCGTTACGTGATTTATATGTTTTAATTACATGATTTCATCATGCAACTGTGTGACGTGATTTTTTTCCAGTAGGGATACTTCAAATTTCATTGAGATAAGCCTTAAAACCTTGTTTATTATTTAATAAGTAAATATTTGGCAATAAATTTTTTATGTAATGATAGAGCTATAAAATCGTACCAATAGAAAAATACGGGATATTTTGAATTGTTTAATTAGAAGAAGTAAGATTTGATGATCGTAAAACCGTAAGAGGCGTGGACATCATAATATGAGATATCCAGGGTATTTCTAATATGAAATAACCTATGCTTCTATGTCATAATGAAAATCGTTGCTAAAGTATAAATGTTATTGTATAAAAAGGACAACCGGAATGAACATCGAGTACCTGTTTCTGCGATGCTTGCTTCCAAATACCCGAAGACAAGTTCTGGATACAATGCATCGCATTTTTCATGCACACTGGCTATTTGTTCGTATTTTAGAAACATTACATACAATTTTTTAATTGCAATTGACTGATGTACTTTGCATTTTATTATCAATTTCTAAAGAGGGGCATCTCATATTAGGAGCATAATTTTTGACTTTATGATTTGCTCACTTTCTATATTTCTTTAATTAAAAAAATAAAATTTAAATTAAATCTTACATAACATTATCTTAAAGATTATTAAATTCTCTTCAAAATGACCTACTATTTTTTTAAATTTTACCCATAGATTTCTAGCATTTATCCAAAATGAATTCGGTATCTCATAATCTAAGGACCTTTCTTATATTAAAATATATAGTAAAATTATAAAATTAAACAATGTATATATTAAATTATTTTCAAATATAAAATGTGTATTTAAATTATCTGTTGGAAATTTTATAGAATTTGAATTATCTAATTGCAGCAGTATATTCTATATAATTTTGATTTATATTTGTAATTGTAAGTATTCTAGGAAGTATGTTTTAAAAATCCCTAAACTTTTTTGATCTAAATGAATACTTTTAGTGTTCGAGAACGTGCGGTGGTGGTGTGAAGAAGCGAGACGTAGTTTGCGAGCAGATAATGGCGCAAGGTCGCAAGCAGAGTCGCGAGGAACGTGAATGCCCGGCTCAAAAGCCAGCCAGCGAAAAACCTTGTAACACCAGAGCCTGCCACGACTCAGACTTAAGCTCTAATATGCCACCAACCATCACGAGCCTGAATACCACGTACAATCAAACAGATATCAATGCAAAAGTGGATTTGAAGATTGGCGGAATCGCCAAGATTTTTCAGGGGACACCTTCTATCAAAATTCGCTGTCCCGTTCGAAAGTTTGACAAGTAAGTACAAAATCTGTGTAACTGCGAATCGAACAAAATAACTACAAATACAATACTATCAGAGCGCAGATCGTATGGACGAAAGACAACAAGGAAATACGAAAATCCAGAAAATACAAGATTAGCAGAAAGGGAGCTTTGAAAATAATTGATATAGGTTCTTCGGACTCGGGAGTTTACGGTTGTATTGGTAAGCGATCTCGTTTGATATACCTAGATTATGCGTATTTCGATACGTTGCTATGAAAAATTCGGTGATAATCCTTTTTAGCGGGAAATTCGCACGCAGAGACGCAGTTGATAGTAAAATTTCGTTCCAAAGAGCAGATAAGTAGTGAGGAATATTTACGACTTGGCAATTCCGTTCACCTACAACGAAACGCGAACCTCGATTCTGCACCAGCAAATTCTGGCGAAAGTCCATACACTGATCATGCAGGTAAACATTTTTATTTAAAAAATTATTCACTTTTGTGCAATAGAAGACATTTCGTATTTCTATTAAACCGATCCTTGTTAAAATTATTGTGTTAAATGTTTAACATATTCGCGTGATAATTTAATATAATGTAACTCATTTGAATATTTTGTATTAAATTAATATTCATTTCTTAATATTAAAATAACGTAATTTATAAATAAATAAACAAATAACAAAAAATTAATGTATTTTAAAAGTAAATTAAAAATAAATGAAGTAAAGATAAATTAATAAAATACATGTTAATATAATATATCATAAATGTTAATTTTATTGAAAAAATATGTTACACAATTTGCTTCTACACAATTTGCTCTAAAGAACTAAAAACTGATATATTTCTTAATAATTTAAATGAATTTTACTGGATTTGTCACGTAGTACTTCAGTATCTCATATAAATAATAATTGATATCAAAACTTTTTTGTCTGTAATGAAGCAGAACAGGAGGGAGAAAAGAAAATTAGCCTTGAGCCTATCTAGTTGCTATAGACGATTTCCAGCAATCGCACAATATACAAAGACACAAATTTTCTATGCTGTTTTATGTTTGAATTTGATGTAAATAATATTATTTTATCACGAAAACATAATTCACTGTATAATATAACCAAAATTTTTTATACATATAAATAAGCAAACGAATGTGATACATCTCTTTGCGTTGTGCCGGACTTTGAACGGTACAATACAGTACTATTATACATTTTTAATTTTTTCTTCTTATTCCCGAAAAAGGTAAGTTCTTTTATTTCTTTCACTGCTTATTTTGTATTTATGTACTCTTATACATTTGTTACAAAGTATAAATTGACGTAACTCTATATCTAAGTCTTTTTATTACTTTACTACACACACACATATCCTAAATTTCGATATAACAATGCTTTTATAATTATTTTTATAAAGTTCTTTACTGCAAATTAATATAATTATAATAGTTATTCTAAAAACATATAATAATACAAAGCTCGGATACGGAAACAAATTTTTTTACCGTTCCAGATCAGTAGCTGATATATCGGTTCTGGAGTAACAAAACAACTACGTCTTTTACATAGATGCATAGTCAACAAAGTTCTGAATTTAAAACTGAATTTAAAATTCGTTAAAAAACTTGCCGGTCCTTAACACTTTAAATATTGTGTCAGTGTTATATTTTTTTTTGTTAATTTTGATATTATTTTTACCTTCTAACATATTTATCTTGTGTTAAATTAACACAAAAATTTGAATTGACCATTTGGAACACATGAAATGCGTTAAATTTAGCACAAATGTTCCAATTGTATATTCAGTATTGTTACAAATGATTATAATAATAAAAAATAAAATCTTTCGGCTAAAATGTACCTATTTTACAAATTTTAAAAATCGTAAATTCTTTATTAAATAAAAAAATTATGAATAAAATCCATTATTTTTAAAATCTTTATAAACTGTAATCTTAGAATTTGAAATCTAATATAGTTAATAATAAAATTTAATTAACTTTATTTTTAGTTTTAGAATCAAAAAGAAATTAAATCTATTAGATTTTTTTAATTCTAAGCTTATACACAAATGCAAATTTTAAAAATAATGGAAGTTATTAATATTTTTAAAATTTTAAATTGTGTAATCTTAGAATTTAAAATCTAATATAATTAACAATAAAATTTTAATAACTTTTTTATTTTTAGCTTAGAATTAGAAAGAAATTAAATGTATTAGATTTTTTAATTCTAAGCTTATACTGCAAATCCAGACTTTAAAAATATGGAAGTTATTAATAATTTTTAGTTTCATGTACACGCAACTTTGATTCTTTTTTATAGCAGCCTACGGAAACCGTTTTGATAGCGAGGACCTTAGCCATGAACGTGCATTTCCTAGCAAACCGACGAGAAAACCACATCAAAAGAAACAGAAGACCAGTCCCACTCCGTCAGATGCCACGATGATGCATAAAGAGCATACTGTTACCTCTCTCAACCAGGTACGCGAAAAAGCATTCTACTATCAAGATTGTCTCCCACTACATAATTCGTTGCGCGTATCTTGACATTGCTTAACAAATGGTATGTGCATGAATTTCGTCAAACTAATTTTCTGGTGATGGTTCTGTATTTCGCTTTGCATTCCTGGACTAACTTTCTTCGATGTCGATTATTCGATATTTGTGACTATCAATCAGCCGGGATATCACGAGTCCGTGGAATCACCTGCTCCATCAAGTGCTTCCACTCTTGTGCCGCACTTAAGCTACTTGATATCGAGCTTGAAGGTAAGATGTTAATTTGTAAATAAACTTGATGAAGTTATGTAAGACGCGTTTGCCTGCTTGTATCGCCATTGCAGCTAAATTTTCGACAATTTACTCAACATATACCGTTACATATTATTAAATGTTAAATATTAACACTTTATATAGGCCTATTGGCCGTTTCACAGCGAAATAGCCACAAGTAATAATCGCAAAACTGTTTCCACACCATTTGTCGAGGACGGTCATAAAAGGATGGCGACAACAAAGCGTAAAATGTCTAATAAAGAAGCCGACTTCACGTATCAAAATGTAGAGGATAACTTTGACAATTTGTATCGTAATACAGCCATCCCAGATGAGACCTTCGGTCCAGATGAAGAACGGATATTTATCGATGTCGATCCGTACGATTTGGACGAATCTGTATTCGGGCTGCAACATGACGACGATATCAAATCAGATATAATGGAGAAAGTTGATACCAAGCTTACTACAAAGCCTGATATCGATTATATCGAAGAATCATTAAAAAATGTGAAACGACAGTGGCAAGAGTCGAAAACCGGATACAAAGATCACTGGAGCACCACGCCCAAAAGTCACGTCCTTCAAAGTAGAGGTACGACGGAATCTATCACATCTTCACAAAACGGCGAAATGAACGTGTATTATATTGAAGATTCGAGCACAAAAAAGGAAATGCTCAAGGAAGCAGACAGTTTTACCGACGATAGTGATAAGTCCATCAATCACGACATTTATGGAAGTTTGAGAACTGAAACTCCATCGAATATCACCTCCACAATGATGTCTAGAAATCCTGAAGATCGATTAAGGATATCAGAGTCGGATCATCGTAGTTTGAACCATACGAACAGGACAATCGAGTACAGCGAAGCGTTCCAGGAAGAGTTAGATAAACGGAAAATCGTGCCGTATGTGGAAAATCACACGGCGGATTATACAATCGCACGATTTCAGACTACTAGAAACTTGGAAAATAGAGCGAGAGATGATTCGACATTGATAGATGCTCTGAGGTCGATCATCGCAGATGTTGTTAGGGAGAATCCTGATAAGAACGTAAAGAACTTATCTCACAGTCAAGAGGATCACGCTAGCTCCATAGAAAAGGCCTTTTCAATTGATCTAAAAGAGACGTTTAGAGAGGGACAACGTGATGGAGATAAGCCCGCAAACATTTTGACCTCCACTATAATGGAAGAGGATAACACAACAAAAAATACCGCTGTAGAATCTCTCGCTGTATTAGGTAAGATTGTACTTAATAATTTACATTGTCTTGATAATGTTTAAGCAGTCCAATAATTAAACGAAGGACTTATATAATGCAGCTACGGATAATGTTCTGGTGTTCGAGTGGGTTACGACCGATTGGTCGAAATGTTCTCAAACTTGCGGAGGAAGTGGATTCCAGGTAAGACAATTTTTTTCTAATCGTGATTAGCTTGAATTAGAAAATTTACAATTCTTTTGAGTTAATTCGATAAAAAGAATATTTAGACTTAATTACTATCATTGTTAAGCAATTGTCTAAGAAATGTTTGAAGCGATAAGAAAATTTGAACGATTTAAACATCTACTTGTGATATATGATTAGTCATTCATTTATTTCATCATGATTCATTCATTTACATTATCTACTGTCATTTAAAATACATATTATATATAACTTTATGAATTTGTTAATTTATCCGAAAAAAAAATTAGAGATCACGACATTTTAATGAAAATATTTAAAAGTCAAAAGAATTTGAAATTTCATCCAATTTCATATTAAAATATATTTCTACTAAAAAAAATTTCGAAATAATTGCATTACAAATTCTTCGTTGTCATAGATGCGAGGTGCACAGTGTACAGTTCGATCGACGAAAACAGATGGCAACTTCACGCACGTTTCGCCAAGAACGGTAATCGGTCAGACATTGTGTGAGGACGCGGGATATCCGGTACCGCAGAAGGTGAGACCGTGCGGAATGGGCAAATGCCCTCAATGGCACGCCACGGAATGGACTCCGTGTGAAACGTCCAGATGCTTTAACTGGAAAACAGCGATGCAAAAACGAGACATTAGCTGTCGTTTGGTGCACGACGCTAAGGATGGACATGAAAATGTCACGTTGTTGGACCCGAGTAAGTGTGACGAGGCTACGAGGCCGCTACAAAGACAGGAATGCTACAATGATGCTTGTAAGGGCGTTTGGAGGGTCGGCGAATGGACTGAGGTAAATAGACTGACTAGAAATTTTACATGATAATGGTAATGCTTACACTAAAGTAATATTCTGATACATAGTGCACCGCGTCTTGCGAGGAAGACGGTATCAAATATAGGATTTTACAATGTGTCTGGTTTGGTACAAAGAAGCCAGCGGGAAATGCTTGTAGAGATATACCACGACCTCCTGTAATGAAAACATGCAGGGGTCCGCCTTGTCCTCAGTCTACCGGTAGGTTTCTGCAAAAAAAAATATACTAGATCTTAGCCTTCATACTAACTAATGCCTTGATAACAATTTTTCTTAGAGTTCTTCATAGAATTTTTCAGAATTTTTCAAAATTTCTATAATTTTATAACTTTTTAGAAAATTACTTTTTTATATAGAAATTGGAACACTTTTCAGAAGTGCTGAGAAAATTTACATCTTTTCTAGAATTCAATACAAATGAACATAAAGATCGTATTCAATCAAAGGTTAAACATTTACATCAAAGATCTTGATGCTTAATAATATTTTTGTGTGAATGTTTAAACTGGAAATTGTAAAATTCACACAAAAAATTAGCCAAAGTCCGCTTTGATTGAATACGGTCTTTGCTTATTTGTGTTGAACATTTCTTAATCAGTTTTCCTTTACTATTGTTTTCTAGAATTTTGCATGTATGTAATTTCTGAAATATTCTAAGATTTCTAAGACTTATAATTATTCTATAATTTTTGAAGAGAGAAAGAGAGAAAACTTAGAAAAATTAATAAATAAAATAGGCTTAAGTGATTAACAAATTAAGTAATACCAGTATGAAAAGCAACACAAGATGTTCAAGTATAAATTACAATATCATTTATTAAGCAAGTAAATACACGTTCCAACCTAGTTCGGATCCTCATCAATACAATTATTAATAAAACATAAAATCATATTAATAATGATAATGTTATTTTACAATAAATCGGAAGGTCAAGCTGGATTTTTATTGTTTAAGTAATTCCATGTGAATTTATGTACTGTAATACATATCTCTAATTCTGCAAACTGCGCGCCGAATTTAATTTTCAGTTTTGAAATGCAATTCTAATATAACTAAAAAGCAGTAATATTACAAATTAAATTATGACAAGGTTCGATTGCGTAATATTTTTCGCAATAAAATTATTTACACAACAAGCTTGAATAAAGCTTTTAATTATCAAATTGGATCTTAAATGCTAAGATAATTCGATGTAAATTTATACACTACATAGTAAAATTTAGACAAATGAAAGCAGAACGCAGATATTAGAGCGCAATTAAACTAATATAATTTTAATACTAATGGATAGTGCGAAAGTTTTGAAATCATTATCAGCGATACATTGTTTTTATAAAGATCTGACATATCCCTCATTCTACGATAGGCAGTCAATGGATTGGGTGAAGTATAAGAATTTGTAAAAGTACAATAATAAGAAATTCATAAAAAGTAAAAGAACATATTAACAACGAATAGAAAAATCATGTTCGCAAAAACATTTTTTAATTAAAGTCACGCGGATCATTTTAGTTAAAAATTAATCAATAGTCGATAAAATAGAATATGTTAGTCGTGACAAGACAAACATGAGACCAATTGTTTTGTCTTGTAATGGCTAACATGTTTTGTTTTATTGATTACTGATTTTTAATTAAAAATTACTTATTCTATCGAAATATTAAGTAAAGTAAGAATCATCCTCCAATAACCTTGATCTTAACATATATTGTCAAGGTTATGACCCTCCAACAGTTTTACCCGGCGCTCGTTCTTCGTTAAAAAGTTATTAACAAAAAAACTCTGCTATATAATAAAAAATTCTCTGCTTTAAAATAAATTTCCTGCTTTAAAAATAAAAATTTTTTTTCAAAACATTATTTTCTTATATAATTTTTGTTTTTAAAGCGAAAAATTTGTGATTTTGTAATGACTTTTTATTTGAATTGAGATTCATCCCATTTCCCCCTGTTTAAAGGCGCACGACTTTCGCAAAAGCGAGACTGCATTACCATTCCCCATGCTTAGAAAGCTCCTAGGCAAGGGAGCGGGGTGGGATAGGCTTTGCTTCGCGTAGAAAGTCGTATGCCTCATGGCAGGAGGAAATGAGGTGAATCTTGCTTCGTGTGGAAAGTCGAAAATCCCTATGGAAAAAATAGTACAATTATTATAGACCTCGTTTCGTAGATTCGTCCCATAAAGTAATGAACTTTTTTGTTAAGAGGATCCTAAAGCGAAGCTCCGAACTCCGACGAAGTTATCAGAGGTCACGCCGACATGTTTTTATATACTACCACACCGATATCTCACACAACAATCTATGATACACGCAGTTGCACATTCGTGTTAATTTTTGTATAACAAATTCGTCGCGTCTAAGTCTAATTCTAAGAATTCGATGTTGTTTGTTCGTGTAAATTACGTGTCTGGGAACTACTATTTCGTACGTACAGGTTGTAAAGCTTTCATATCAAGCAAATGATGTCACGACTTGACAGCTGAGACGCCATGTTACACTAAGAAATGGTAAAAAATATATCAATTTTAATATTTTTTATTGTTCTCGACATAGACTCCACTTTGCAGACACGTATTAATGCGTATACTTTAATCCTAGAAAAGAATTTTCGAATTGATGAAAAAAGAAAAAAGTAGAGTTGGGTAAGTTAACTTTTTTTTAAACTAAGTTTGATTAAAGTTAACCTTGAAAATTTAATTAAGATACAAATTAAATTATAATAAAATTAATTGAATTAAAAGAGTTAAGTTAATAAAAAAAAGTAATTGAATAGTTAAAAGTTAATTTGTTTTTTTTTTATTTTTTTATTTCATAGTTCCACGGTTTCAGTCTTAATAACAGTCTTAATAATTCACTCAAATAACGGAAATGACAAATATATACTACATTTAGAAAATATTCTATATATTATACATATACACTGTTTGAATGTTTTGTTCACATATACTTATTAAATTTAAGTAATAAAGCAATTTCGAAATTTTTGTCGGACATCTTTTCTCGCAAGTTATCAAAAATGAATTCTTATATATTAAACAGCCGATCAACATGAACTCACATGAGCCGAAGATAGTATTGATGTGCTATGTTTTCCTTGGTAGCAAGCTGATGACGAGCAAAATGACGACATAATGACGTAGCTACCTGGGTTTAATAATAAGTAATAATAGATTTCAACCTATCAGAAACTAGATACATCAAAATATTCTGACAGATTGAAATCTGGGGGTCGCGATTGTGTAATTTGAAATGAGATGAAAATTAAATAAGTAAACAAATTTACTAGAATATTTATAATTTCATTGGTCTACACCTAATAAATTTGCTCATTTTTGCAATTTTCACCACATTTTAAGCTATCGCTATTACTGCGTATTATGTCTAAGACTTAACTTAAAAAAAATTAAATAAAAAATTAATAGTTATGAATAAAATGTAATTAAATAAAATTAAAAAGTTAAGAGTCTAAATTGTAACTAAGTTAAGTTAAAATTAATTAACTTTTTAATTTTTTAACTTAATTTTTATCTTTTTACTTCACTATCTTCAACTTTTATCTTTAACTTCACTATCCAACCCTAGAAAAAAGTATAATATTTCTTATACAAAAATTATATGATTTAATCGGTAAAATAAGAGGCCTTAAGATTCCCTTAATAACTTTAATGAGGAATGAGCGCCGGATGAAACCTGTAGATCACTCAAGGTCATGACCTTGATATTAACATATGAGGGTCATTTGCAAAGTTTTAAGTCTCAACATGAAGATAAGGCTCGTCAAAACCATTCTGGTACTACAATCATATGTTTTGCAAGATACCTATGAAAATTGTAGCCATTTTGGATCAGGTGGAAGGATTCCATGGGCTTGATTCGGAGAGACGCTATTAGCGCTATTTGTGTCATCTTCATCGTCCATTAAACGTGAAACAAAGATGGTATGACACAAATAGCGTTGATAGCGCGCTGCCATGGTGTGCTCAGTTTACAAGCGTCTCTCTCTAATTCTCTGCTCTCGCTTGCTCGGTGATCGTTTATAGTTCCAGTTTAGCCAACCTTAGTTGTTTTCGCACGTACATCATTTAGGTTCAGTCTCTTTTTATCATGTATACTTAGTACTAACAACATTTGTCCGCGTCGCATGCTCCTACCTTAGCTCCTATACTTTAACGCGTTTGTTGGAATGAGTAAGAGCTATAATAAGAATTGAAAAATGTTTCAGAAATATATATCAGAAATATATAGATACTCAAAGTATCTATATATTTTTATAGAATTTTTCATATATAATATGTATTCTGAAATATTGTATGCGCGTAAGATTCGTATAAAAAAATTGAGATATTTTCTGAATAGTTATAAAATATACAGAAATTCTAAAAATTTTAAATTTTTTTGTATGTAAATTATAAAATATTGTAAGATTTGTATAATTTTCTATAATTGTATATATATATGAACATATTTTATATATAATCATATTGTGATGTTAATATATGTATATGCAATTATATATAAAACATTTTTTCCTGACTAAATGAGCAAATCAATATATAAATATAAATAAATAAATAAATACAATTTGTACTAACAATACTTATACCAATGTATAGTTCGACGGAATCCTCAGGGCACTTACGGAATTCCGTTTTTCCTAGAAAACACAATAAAAATTTAAAGAATAATTGAATAATTCCAATAGGAATTTCGAATAATGTGTAATACGTACTCAAACGGCGAATTCAATTAAAAGTATTAGTGCGCTCTGGTGCACATTAAAGCCGTTGTACACTAACTTAATTTGAGTATAAAAATGAAATGCAAATATTTCAAATTATGAAATACATATTTTACCTAATAGTATTATATAATAAAATGTATTGAGTATTTCACGATTTAATCGATTTCGATGTTTATTTATAAACATATCTTCACGTTATTTTGTATACATACAACGGCTTTAATGTGCACCAGTACGCACTGAATGTGTCCAATCGATTTCGCTATAATAAACTCTTAAAATTACAAAATAAACATAAATAATAAAGAGTATACAGCCACAACAATAGATGTAAACGCAAGTTATATATTTAAAATTCACAAAATAAATAAATAAGTAGACGTTTCGGTTAAGATTTGACCATCATCAGTACACAAAAAAAAGATGACGAAAAATAAAAATCTTACAAACTAAAAACAATTAACAGTAGTCGGAAGATGTTAGAGTAAAATTAAATTAGAATTACATAAAAATGATTGAAAAGAAAATACATAAATATACAAGCGCAATGTTCGCAATTAAAATAGGTGAATAATATTTTCCCTTCGCTTGTGCTATGAGTTGAAAGCATGAATATAAATCAAGAGAGATGAGTAATATTTGAATCTTCTGATATAATGCTCTGTTACAATTCTTGTTATCTTAAAGAGCGAAGAGTAACCTCGTGTAAAAATACGGAATTTCCCAGTTATATTAAACAAAAAAAAATTTTTATTTTTTATTTCCTCTTCATACTAATACCAACACTTCCAAAATCATAACAATTTACGGAAATTAATTTAAAATTGTAATGAACAAAACTTACCACGTATCTTATGGCACGGAAACTCACAAATAAGACACCGGAATAAGTAACAAACTTTTATAACTGTATTAAAAATTAATTCCGACAATTATGAAGGCCCGGGAGACCATAAACGGGAGACTATTTATATTATGCGAGGAAAGGAGACGAAATGAGAGTGGAGGGGGAACACTAAGTGTGGGGAGAGGAACTATATCCAATAAGAAGGAGATAAATATTAGGAAAGCGTTCTGTGTCAATCTGCTTGTTTAGGCCATTTTCTTGTCGTTTAATATGTATCATCTCGGAGACCATCCTTTTGTATTAAGAACGTTCAGAATCGAGAATACTAGAATTTTCCCAATCAATCGTATGATCACTTTCCAGTAAATTTGATTTCAATATAGCATATAAACCAATGAATAATCAATAATAACTAATGAATAAACTAATGATAAGGAATTAGTTGGTTTATTAAAATCTTTGATGTGTTCTTTAAGTCGTGTCTTTAATTTTCTTTTTGTCTGACTCACATAAGAATAATTAGTCTTGACAATTAATTTTATAGACAACATTCGAATGATCTACTTTTTTAATTTTATCTTTAGTTTTTATGAAAGTGCTCATACTACTCATTGGTTTATATGCTATATTGAAATCAAATTTACTTGTAAGGAATTTGAATTTCTCAGACATTCTCTTGAAGTAAGGAATGGTAAAAAAATCTCTTATTAATGTTAGAGGAATCAGTTATTTCTTGTCATAAACTGGAAAGTGATCATACGATTGATTGGAAAAATTCTAGTATTCTCGATTCTGAACGTTCTTATTACAAAAGGATGGTCTCCGAGATGATACATATTAAACGACAAGAAAATGGCCTAAACAAGCAGATTGATACAAAACGTTTTCCTAATATTTATCTCCTTCTTATTGGAAATAGTTCCTCTCCCCACACTTAGTGTTCCCCCTCCACTCTCATTTCCTCTCCTTTCCTCGTATAATATAAATAGTCTCCCGTTTATGATCTCCCGGGCCTTCATAATTGTCGGAATTAATTTTTAATACAGTTACAAAAGTTTGTTACTTATTCCGGTGTCTTATTTGTGAGTTTCCGTGCCATAAGATATGTGATAAGTTTTGTTCATTACAATTTCAAATTAATTTCCGTGAATTGTTATGATTTTGGAAGTAAAATGGATCTCGACGTAGCTTAATGTTGTATGTGCGATGGGGTAATCAAACCGATGTTAAGAAACATAGTCAAGTGCTGACTGAAAAACGGAAAAGGAAGGGAACTCATAAGAAACAAGTAAACTGAAAAACTTAAAACTTAAAAACAAAACACGCCACAGATAAGAAGCCAAGTGCTCACTCACCAACGCATCCGAACAGGAAATGAGAATCGCCGCAATGCATGACAAGTGTGAAAATCCCTGACAATGATAGGGATGTAATCGTCGAAGTCAGACATGTCAACATCGCACGTGACACCGACCGCTCGCTAAGACGGCACGCGACGCACTGAGAGAGGAGACGGGTCGACAGGATCGAAAGTCAGACTTTGTTTATTATCGGCAGATATGCCTTATTAAGACCCTCGGTGTCGGTCTGCAAATTAAGACTGTTCTTCTGTTTTTTAATATGTAGCATCTCCGAAATCAAACGCTTTCTATACGAAGGTTCCTCGTCTAATATCAGAACATTGTCCCATTGAAAATCGTGATTGTGACTCAACCTATGATCGGTGATGACAGAGCGGGCAGAAGTTTTATGTCTAATATGATTACGATGTTCGGCAATCCTGGTTTTTAATTGCCTGCCCGTCTGTCCAACGTAAGAAGCGTCACAATCATTACA